ATGGATCTCCTCAACAAGGCTCACGACGTGCCGGATGTCGCGGCCCACCATATCTGCTTTTTTCCAGATGTCTCCGCATCCATATGCCTGCAAAATATCCCCAAGCACGCCTTGTACCTCCATCATGAACGTGTTCCATTGTTCCTCCATCGACGCGCAGTATTCCTTGGCCTCCTCAGAGTTGGCGATGCAATATTGGGCAATCTCGTCAAGGTACGTATACAGAGCACCATGCGTGAGTTTGTTGAATTGTTCTTTTGCCTTCTCCATAAGCCATAGTGGGTCGCATCTCGCCATTCAATGTCAGAACCTAGGTACTGAGAGAAACCGAGGGATCTTACCTTTCCGAGATGTTATCTTTCCGGATGTTCTGTAGTTTCTTTTTGTATTTGCGACGCGATCGGCGATTGATTTGAACTTGATGCCTGGAATATCAGATGTAAAAACAAAAATAAAAAACATCAGAGGTACTCACTTTTCATAGTATTTTTTGGAAGTAGCACGGCGCGCGGCAGCCTTCTCTTCAGACGTGTGGTAGAGAGTAGGACGAGGCATGGTATTCAGCTCGTGTTGACCGTAGCGCAAGATTGAATAACTGGCCTTACCCTATTAGGTGCACGTGGTTTGTCCAATTTCTTACGACTTTTTGTTTCTGTCTCCAATGGTTGAACAGTATGCACTAAAGTAAATACATGGTTGGAAAGTAGAATCAAGCACCGTTCTAAATATGTAAAAAAATTCAAATATGGTTGAGTGAGCCCGTGGCAGGAGCCAAAGTCGCGGAGTTGACGCCGAACTCTAAGAGGAATCTTGGACAAAGGCTCGAGTTTCATCTGACTTTTACTCAAACCAATTGTACAAATAAAATTTTAATATTATAAAGTGTGTTGTAGTAGTGCAAGTGTATATTCAAAATATCTAAAGGTAGAGAGGGATATTGAAGCCTCAGCGCTATGTTTAAGATATGTTTCGATGCTTGGAGATTGACCTCCCCCGAATTCCCGCGATTGATTACTATATCGATTAAGCCTGCAACCCTTTTTATTATTGAGTATATCGTAGCTGTGCGAGGGCACTTCAGTCACCCAATGACAACTGACTGTTAGTCTTGCAAACTCCATGAATACTACAAGACTAAATGTCAGGGTGTATATCTATAGTGTATATATTCTGGGCTTGTATATCTCCACTTTTACCTAAATATATTTTGTTGTTCAATGTCACACTAAATATATTTCTAGTGTGTCACACACCCCAAAATATATTTCCTCACTGGAATGGACTCCAAATATATTTCTTATGCCTGGACCCTGAATTGTGACTGTCACAATGTAGAAATATATTTCTTGTCTGGGATGGACTTGGGATATATTTTGCAGCTAGGGTTGACTAAGGATATATTTTTTCAGCCACAAGGGGTGTCTGGGGTCCTATATTTAAGAGAAAAACTTGGGATTTTTTTAATATAGGGGACAGGGGATTTACCTATTATTTTGCAGACAGAATACCCTCATTGGGATGTTTGTTGACAGATATTTACCAATGGGTTTGACCCATGTGTAGTATATGCATTGATGTGTGCACTATTTCCTAATTGGGCCATTTCCTAATTGGGAAAAGTGTTACATTTTTTTCTGCCACACCTGATGTCAGGCACAGTGCGCATTTAGGTTGGGAACTGTTTCCCATGCTTTTTGGGCCAGAAGAATTAATGGTTAGCATGGTGTGGTCATTGTTAATGATGATGTGCGCACTATTTCCTAATTGGGCAACTTCCTAATTGGGAAAAGCGTTACACTTTTTTCTGACAGACCTGATGTCAGGCACAGTGCACATTTAGGTTGGGAACTGTTTCCCACGCTTCTTGGGCCAGAAGAGTTAATGGCTAGCATGGTGTGGTCATTGTTAATGACGATGTGTGCACTATTTCCTAATTGGGCCATTTCCTAATTAAGAAAAGCGTTACACTTTTTTCTGACACAACTGATGTCAGGCACACTGCGCATTTGGGTGGGGAATTATTTCCCACACTTTGGTTTGTAGTGTCTGCTTTTTTCATTACAACACTTTGTAGTGTCCGCTTTGATGATTACAAAATTGTGTAGTGTCTGCTTTATTTATTAGAAAATTGTGTAGTGTCCGCTGTTTTCATTACAACACTTTGTAGTGTCCGCTTTATTGATTAGAAAATTGTGTAGTGCCCGCTTTTTTCATTACAACACTTTGTAGTGTCCGCTTTATTCATTATAAAATTGTGTAGTGTCCGCTTTTTTCATTACAACACTTTGTAGTGTCCGCTTTATTGATTAGAAAATTGTGTAGTGTCCGCTTTTTTCATTAAAACACTTTGTAGTGTCCGCTTTATTGATTAGAAAATTGTGTAGTGTCCGCTTTTTTCATTACAACACTTTGTAGTGTCCGCTTTATTGATTAGAAAATTGTGTAGTGTCCGCTTTTTTCATTAAAACACTTTGTAGTGTCCGCTTTATTGATTAGAAAATTGTGTAGTGTCTGCTTTTTTCATTACAACACTTTGTAGTGTCCGCTTTATTCATTAGAAAATTGTGTAGTGTCCGCTTTTTGCATTAAAACACTTTGTAGTGTCCGCTTTATAGTGTCCGCTTTATTCATTAGAAAATTGTGTAGTGTCCGCTTTATTCATTAGAAAATTATGTAGTGTCCGCTTTTTTCATTACAATTCTGTGTAGTATTCGCTTTTTTCCATTACAATTCTGTGTAGTGTCCACTTTATTCATTACAAAATTGTGTAGTGTCCGCCTTTTTCATTAGAAAACTCTGCAGTATTCGCTTTTTTCATTA